CATTATGCGTGCATGCTTATGAATATGTGTGTGCGTCGGGGGCGAGGTTCTGATAGATACCAAAAAGCTACACTTCATGGAGAATATCTAAACCCGTTAGGGTAATCAAGCAGTTATGATTATTTTAGTTCATTTAATGCATTCACTAAATTTTGTGCACATTAAGCTTTTGGTTATAAGGATTATGCATGGAGTTGTATGGTTGTATCTATTGAAATATCTTTCCCACACATGTGAGAATGATAAGAACAGAAAATATCAGAGAACCACAGACTTTTGTGTTATACAGTCTCACCTGCACTTTTGTGTAGCAATGCTGCAGTTTTAAGTTTGCCTGATCTTCTGTTGAATCCATATCTCATTTACAGGCATTGTTCCTTTGCTTGTACCAAAACTTCTCAACTGTCTTGGCAGAACCACTTCATAATGCATTTGCAGATGGAACCTTGCGGTCCTCGGGTCAGGCAGAAGAAATGACTATAGATCTTGAAGATTCTTCTGCAATGGAAGTGGACAAAGATAATGAAAGACCAAATAAGAGGTGCTTGAGGAAGTATCTATTTCTCTTTTGTGTTAATTCAGTTACTCAGTTGTCATTAATTTCTCTTTGAGAAGTTGGACAAAGACAATGTATTATTTTATTTTCATTCTTATATTTGCTTGCACGGGTTTTCTTATGCAGTCTTCTGAATGGAGGCAAGACTGAATATTGTCTCGATGAAAAAAAGCAATGGTGTTATTCTACTCTCGGTTATCTCAAGGCATTTACTAGGCAATACTCTTCTGAGGTATTGTAGTTTCTCAATTTTTAAGTGTGTCAATGATGGTGTTCCCTAATTCACATTTTTTTTTTGGGAAATGATTTTAGATTAATGAAGCTTACAAACATACTTCTCTATCTAGTCAGTAGTCAATAATATCAAAACCTTTAAAGGCTGTTCAACTGGTTTGAACCCAAGAACAAAAAGTTCTATGAGGTCATTAGTTGGACCCTAAGTGTCGCCGGAGCTTTACCCCGTCGATAAATTCAGAGCCCGCGGGATTATTCAGTCCTCGGGTCCTGAACCACCTATGTTATATGTATAAAAAAAAGCTTAAAGATGTTTTTGAGTCAAATTTATAACACACAGTGCTGATATTGTAATATTGAAGTGCTTTAAATTGAATTAATGCAGTGAAGTATTTCATCTAAACATAATGCTTTGTGCTTTACAGATATGGCCACTTGTTGAGAAGTTGGATGCCTCTGTACTGACTGAAGATGCTCACCCTCTTTTCCGAAAAGCCATTTACTGTGGCCTGGGAAGACCTGCAAATGACCTTTAGTTTTGTCACAATATCTTATATTTTGTTTTGTTGTTTCTCGGACATTTTCTTAGGGTCTGTCTTGGTTGCCAAAAGACAAGACAAATGCATTGTAAGATTGCTGATTCGGTTCAGTCCATCAAACAAATAGTTGAATGGAGAGGTTTATTTGTTTGAAAAATTATTATAGCTGTGTAAAAAGTCACTTTTGCTGTCATAGTAGTAGTAAGAACGAATTTGTAGGTGTTTTGAATTTACATTGTCTTGAGGGTTGTTAAATTTAATTCAACAATACCCCAAGTTAGGTAACGGGAGATTAGGATTTTAGATAAATTTCTTGCTTGTATGGGAGGAAAGATTGCAGAAGAGTTTTGATAAATTTTACTACGCATGTTATTTCCCGTTAATGTACCATCTATATTTTTTTCCAAATGGGAACCGCAACAGTATCATCTTGTTTAAGAAATGGCACATACGCTTGTGTATCTATTTAAGAAATGGTCAGAGTCCATAGAGAGTTAGAGACTGGAGATGTTAAGTCTTATAGACATTGTATACTAAGTATCTAAGTGAGGCTGTGAGGGTCTTTGGAAAACACTACTAAAATAAATTTATTTATGAGAATATAAATAAAGGTACTATGAGTATAGTACAGGGTGGACCGAACTGGTCCAGGACCGGGCGGTCCTGGTGTCGAAGTAAGGAAGACCGGGTTTGAACCGGATAAATCCGGTTCCCATACCGGTTTTGGTCCCCTGGAATCCAGGGCCTGGATGGTCTGGTCGTGGGCTGGACTTGTTCAGCTTCTATTAATTAGTTCATTTGCAAGGCAAAACTGGTTCAAGATTGAAACCGGAACTGGCCGGTCTAGTCCCCAAAATGAGAACTGGGACTGCTCTTTACCTGTTCCTTTCCGGCGGCAAAGTACTGGACCCAGTTCTGGTCTGGCCTGTCATAGTGCCGGACTGGTTCTGATCCGGTCTGAGACCGCCGATCGGGTCCACTACTAGTATTGCTTCATGGTCACTTAAATGTAAAAATTGAATGTTTGATTTAAGGTGTGTTGGTATTGGCTCATTTATCCTTAAGTCCAATTGTCTAAGAGAAGGTCTGACCCGCCTCTTCTTTCTTACCGTTCGCACGCACCTCCCTCCTTGCCTTCTGCGGATGATTCCTTCTGCCCCTTCGACGATTAATTACGTATCTTCCTCATAAGTTAAGTTGACATTCTGGTTCTTTGGTGCTTTGCCTATATATATCTTTCTCTCTTCTCTGCTGGGTGCCTGGGTGGTTGGCCGAACCCTTTTCCCCTCTTCTCCTCTGTGGACGAATTGAAGTAATTGGTAGGATAGATTAGTTGGTTGATGCCCAATTTTTCCCGCCTTTAAATCCTAGTGTGTGAAATTCATCCTTTGTGGATGAAATAGACGAGACCTGAGCTGGAAGATAGTCCAAATAACAAGGTGGATAGATAGACCGATAGAGATATAAGGGTTTAGGGACGATTTTTTAAAAAACTCTCGTAAAATTTAGAAAATCTTCGGATTATGTTGATATTATATAGGCAATTTCTAGTTAAAAGAAAAAGAAACGAGCTAAAATAAATAAGTTGTTAATTACAGGTCAATACATGCTTTACGGGTCGCAAATACTGAGAAAAGGTTACACAAATTTAAACTGATATCGATAAATAATGTTCTCGTATAAGACAAGAATCGAAAAAGTTAACGGCAAATCCCGAGGGTCTTACAATTTAATTTGAAAGAGTTTAACTTATTATTATGTGTATATATAGCTGCATGCATGCATGAGGTTACAGATGTCAGTGAGAGAGGAGTGCCATGTTAGAAGCCAAGTGCATTTTGAACTCTTCGCCGCTTGTCACCCACTTCACTTCATGCCTTCATCCTTCAAGTCTCAACCTTTCCTACTTATATATATACACATATAAATCGTCAAGAAATTAAAGCACTTATAATATATTGTAGTGTTTCTTTTTCATAATCTGCATATATTTGATCATAAACATGTTGTCCATTAACAGTAGCGCCCCAAAGCTGTCCGCCCTTCTATTGCTCCTGCTGCTTCTCATGCCTTGCTTTGGTAATTAATTAATTTAAGCGAACAAATTTAATCTTTTTTTTATTAACAAAATTTCACACTTGCATGTGAGATTAATTGGTATATATGTATCTACTCCCTCCCTTACTTTTATGGGGTAATCCAAATCTTAATATAACATTTAATTTCTTCACAAGTTTCCGACGTGGGAATTCAACATGTCTCGCTTTACCTTTTTCGTCTGGCCCACTAACTTTGATATGCAGATGAGAAGATGGGGAGAGTGAAGGGTTCGAGACTGTGCGAGTCAAAGAGCCACCGGTTCAAAGGGCAGTGCTGGAGCGACACCAACTGCGGCAGCGTTTGCACAAGCGAAGGCTTCACCGGCGGCACTTGTCGCGGCTTCCGCCGTCGATGCTTCTGCACTCGCTCTTGTCCTCAACCTTAGCTACCTAGCTAGCTTCATTAATAACCACCCAGAGGCTAGAGCTAGAGCCAAAATAAAAAATTTACTACCTATATACGATAGTATATAAATCTCTTATTTCATCATCATACTGACAGCTTATTATATACGGGAAATGCTTCCAATCTTCTAATCTATACTTGAGGTTGTACCAATTATAACTATGGAATTACTTATGTATCCTTAAATAATAAAATTATAAATAAGTCATTACCCACAAACAAATAATAGTCCGAAAGTGTCGCCAATAACAAAAGTATAGATTTTTTTTTGAAGGAATAACAAAAGTATAGATAATTTATTTTCTATTTATTTTCTATTTTTTTTATTTCATGAATAGGAGTAATTTTCCAAGTTAGGAAAAACTACCATATTTAAGGCCTTGTAATGTCAAACTTGGAAGAAATTCTCTCTAGAACAACTATTTTGATAATAATTTTCAATTGTAGAGGATAAACAACTCGATCATGTGTTATTCAACACAGCCCTTGAATTAGTAATTCCCTAGTTAAATACCTAGTATATAAACACAATGAGATAAATGTCATGGTTGGGAAAAAGAGTACCATTTATGAAACGAAGAAGTAAAGAGTGCACTTTGAAAGTTTTAGAGTATAGAGTAAAGAGTGCTCTGAAATATTATAGAGCTCTGAAATATTTTCGATTTGATTTATCAGCATGCACTATCTAAATGTAAAATCTGCAAAATTTGATGCATACTATAGAGCAAATCAATCTTATTGTTACGAGTGTCTATTTATCTAAACTGCATATGAATTATTCAAATCGGACATTGTTTAAAAACGATTCATTATTCAAATCAGACATTGTTTAAAAACGATTCATCATTTTCATTTTGTATACACGTTGTGTTTCGACCTCCTGAGCCGTTTTTCTGACTCTGTCACTGAATGTATATATTGTACAAGTTTTTCAAAATTATTGTGTACAAGTTTTTCAAATTTCTGTGTACAAGTTTTTCAAATTTCTGTAAGGGTAATGATTTTGCTCAATAATTAGCAGGATTGTAGCAACACTGATTTGTTTGATACTTTGATGTCAATGGTTTATGCACACCCAAAGATGTTTGGTAAATAGCTGTTCGGCACCAGCGTTTTTGGAAGAAAACGTCAAAATGAAAACGCTGCTAATAGGAGAGTTTTGGGTTGGCGTTTTGAAAATCAAAATTTCTGCTAATTTTATGGCCAACCATCTAAATTACCAAACATCTTTTGACAACCCGTCAATTTATTCTGCTAGTCAAACCCGCTGACCGAATCCGCTATTGACAACCCGCTAACATAACCCGTTAACCGCTATCCGCTAAATGCCAAACACACCCTATATATGTTGTCTTAATATCACAGAATCATCTAAGAAAGAATGGCATGGATATTACCCATACACTTTCATAAGACAATTTTACGAACATGTTTTTACTTTTCCAGAAACATGACTTTCATTCAACTGCCCCTTTCCGTCTCGTTCCTGCGGACATAACAAAGCTTCCCTCTTCTACCCCCATAAATCAACTATTGCACTGAGGGAGATGACCAGCGCATGTCCACGCCTCCTCCTCCTCCTCCTCCTCCTCAAAGCCACCTCCAAGCCAGCGATGGCACCACACCTCCGGTCGACCTCAGCAGCGGCGAAGACAAGATCAGATCTGTACGACCTCGCTTCTACATCACCAGTCACCACCAGACGGTCCGCACCCAAACTCTTATTCACCATTCCAGCACACAAAAAACCTCCATTCCAAATTCCATCTTTGTCCGTCACAAACATTCCACCGCCGCAACTATTCGACCACCGCAACCACCGATTGAACTTTCTTCGTCTCCTCTGATATTTTTGTATCTACGGTGACAACTCGCTTCTACATAAGTGTTGAGCTTCTTATTTGGTTGTTCTGTAGATCTGGCATGTTGGCAGCCAAAGACGGCGACGAATTTGAGCGCTGAGTAAAACCGGCAATGACGAATTTGGCGGCCGAGTAAAACCAACGGTATTCTAGTGGCTTATCTAGTAGCAGAGGAGGGATATGGCAAGGAAAGGGAATGGACTGAGGACAAGGGTGTGGTTGGAACTGGTGCAGGGGGTGGTGGATGGCTTGGGCAGGGATACTGGAAGTGGAAGGGAGCTGAAGGTCACAGGAAAGGGGGGCAGGGAGTTGGGGAACTAGTTGGAGGCTGGGTTGGGACAGTAGCGGTGCAGAGGCTGGAAGGTCAGGGAGGGGGCTGGGAAGGTTGGAGTGAGTTGGGGTTTGCAACGACGGTGGGGAACTGACTGATGGTGTGGGATGGAGTGGCGGTGGTGCGGGGCTGGGGAACAGTGACAGTATTGTGGGGGTGGGGCAATGGCAGTGGTTCAGGGACTGGTTGGCTGGGGTTGGGGAGCGGTGGCTGGGGGAGGCGGTGGTAACTAACCGGTGACCGGAGTAATTGTATGTCACTATCACAATGGATGTTGGCTATAGTGACATAGGCAGTGGTTATAGTGACACGGGTGGGGGCTAGAGTGATACGGGCGGTGGCCACAGTGACACAGGCGGCGACTATAGTGACACGGGTGGCGGGTACAGTGACACGGGTGGCGGCTACAGTGACACGAGCGGTGGCTACAGTGACACAGGCGGTGGTGACAATGACATTAAAATTGGATAGTGACATAAATCTGGCAATGACATGAATATGACCTTCATAATCACTTTTTTGTCTAAATATGAATGTGGTCACATTTTTAGAAATTGGCTTTAGTTTAGTAATATTGAGGGCAAAACCACATCATCTAATTGATAGTCTAATATGGAGTATTTATTTAGGAAGCTACCCAAACGAGAAATGGATTTATTTGGGATTCCTTCACTTCGATTATCACATTAATTCTTTTTTTTTTTTTGTAATTTTTGTTTGTTTTTTGATTTGGGTCTTGGTTCGGTCCCCCAATTCTCATTTGTGTCTTTCATTATTCTTTTTATTTTGAAAGGGTATATCCTTTCTGAAGGGTTTTGGTTCGATCCCCTCTTTTTTGTACTTCACTAATTTTTAATAAAATTCGACAAATGTTCTCGGACATTTGCCCTACTGATTTTGGTGGGTTGCCTTTCGGCTTAAAAAAAAATTATTTAGGATGCTGCCTAATATCTATTTAGGAATACTTTATATTTCGACAACTCTTCTATTATTAATATATGTGACAGGGTTCCTATTGGAATATCCTTTTTCATTATTTCACATGGTACAGTATTAAGGGTAGAGTTCAATTTTTTCATATTTCAACCCTAATATTGTCATCTATTGCCACCATGCATACGGCCACCGCCGTTGTAACACCCCAGCCCCGCAGGACCCGAGGTAGTTACTTCGGACCTCTAATACTGTCCCCACAAACCACCACAGGCCTTTACCGCGCACTTTGTCCTCACTCATGCGTGCCCTGAGAAACTTCCCGGGGGGTTAACCATCCCAAGACTACTCCCGTGCAAGCACGCTTAACTTTGGAGTTCTTAGCGGATGAGCTCCCGTAAAAGGAGATGCATCTCTGTTGGTATGAGTAGTACTATTAATCCTCTTAAATTAATCTCGGGTATTACAATCACCCTCACTTAGCAACGCAACGTCCTCGTTGCGCCCATAAACCAATCTCAAATCTAAATCAAATCCCAGAATCTTCCCCCACTAAGTGCCCGCCCGATATCCAACAGATCAGCACACTGTCGCAGGGTTGCTCTGATACCACCTGTAACACCCCGGCCCCGCAGGACCCGAGGTAATTACTCCGAACCTCTAATACTGTCCCCACAAACCACCACAGGCCTTTACCGCGCACTTTGTCCTCACTCATGCGTGCCCTGAGAAACTTCCCGGGGGGTCACCCATCCCAAGACTACTCCCGTGCAAGCACGCTTAACTTTGGAGTTCTTAGCGGATGAGCTCCCGTAAAAGGAGATGCACCTCTGTTGGTACGAGTAGTACTATTAATCCTCTTAAATTAATCTCGGGTATTACAGCCGTCGCCATGCACGCGGACACATCCGATGCCTTCTCTTCTTTTACTGCGGCAGCCACCATCGAGCCGGCCTCTTCTTTCCCGGTGCTGGCCACCACCCGTGTAGCCCACCAGAGCCGTTATTCACCCGACGTTGTCGTCTGCCTCTTTCTCTTTTTAGATGCCGCTCCACACAAACGCTTCAGCATGAATTGGCTCCTATTCCCTTTTTGACACACTGCCACCTTCTTTCCCTTTTCGACGCACTTCCGGCTTCTTTGGTCCCGCCTTTTTTGGTGCTCCTGGTGTCTTTGCCAACAGCCATGGCAGCCTTGGCACAATCATCTTACTACAACCATTCAAGGCTATGGAAAATTATCTCACATGGCGCACTCAGTTCGAATCATTTCTGATTTCCCAAGGTCTATTTGATTTTGTTGATGGCTCCACCCAGGTACCTTCCATGTACATGGTTGATTTTAATAATCGTCAAATCATTAATATTGATTATGATCATTGGTTACAGGGTAGATTAAACAATTCGTTCATGATTGTTTGCTACTTTTACGTACCCGAGATGTATTAATTGATGTGCATGATGTCAAACATTCTTATGAGATCAAGAATTGATTAGAAACCCGTTTTATGTATGCTAGTTTAGCGAGGTCTAAGAAGCTTAAGCGATTATTTGAGAAAAATAATGATTTTGTTAGATGCTTTCGCTGAGTTAAAAAAAAAGATGCTTTCGCTGCAATTAACTCTCCTATGTCTAACATATGAGTCTAGGTCCCGAGTATGAGTCCATTGTCTCCACTATAATCTTATTTCCCCAAACTTTTCGTCCTCACATTCTTCATCCATGACTCGTAGAGACAGAACAAAATGCCCCTTTCCTTCGTCAGCGGGATGCTACTCCGGGTTGCCATGCATTTGGAGCTAGATTCAGCTAGCATGGGCCAAATACAACACAACAGGGCCGCAACAGGGGAGGGCGTGACAGAATACAGTTTCAGCAAACTGGCAAGACGCAGGGACATCAGGCTCACAACTCAGGCTATAGGCAGTAACCGGGGTAGCCTACACCATCGAGATCTGTTAATGCAGGTGCTATGGGTAATTTTGTTTTGTCCACTTTGAATACTAATGCTATATCTATTTGTGGTATCATCTGTTGAGGGAATCCTTGATTCTATCCCCCCACCACTTGTGTGTCAAACTTGTTTTTCTATAGGTAATCCCGTTCTTCATTTTCCCTCTCGCTGATCCCAAACATATGCACCTGGGTAGGGGATACTAGTTCTGGGTTGGGCAGGGGTTTTGGTCTGGGCTCAGGTTATAGGTGAGATACCAGCTCTGAGTTGGGCTCAAGGTTTGTGATGATGAACATGACGACTAATGTAAATCCTGTCAGAACTAGAGTCAAGACAACGATAACTTTTGTAATGAGAAGCATAACCAAGAAAAACACACTAAAAAGACATAGGAGAAAGTTTAGAAGGTGAATGATACAGAATATTAGGAAGCAAGCACATCCAAACACACATAAAAGAGAATAATCGGGAGTTTTTTGAAATAAGTTCTCATAAGGAGACACACTAAAAAGAATAGGAGTAGGTAATATGTAATAATATATGCAACAGTAAAAATAGCATCAACCTCGAAGTAACTAGGAAGAGAAGCTTCAGTAAGCATAGTCCTAGTTAGTTTAAGGAGATGACGATGTTTACATTCAGCTACCCCATTTTGTTGAGGAGTGTGGGGACAAGATTTTTGAAAATAAGTGTCATGAGTAGAAAAGAAATGCTGCATGTGAGAATTAACAAATTTACATCTTCCTCACTTTGAAATTTTTTAATTTTAGATTGAGAAAAGGGTCAGATAAACCCTCAAACTTACATAAAAAGTAAAATAAGCCCTTATATAGGAGGCTCTGTCCGGCCGTCGCCATTTGGGGCGGTTCCTGGTGGAATTTTTTGATGACAATTTTTGAGCATCTTATCCATTAAGTCTAGTTTACTCATACTAAATTTCAGCTAAAAGTTTAATCAGGAAAGCATTTACTCATACTAAATTTCAGCTAAAAGTTCAATCAGGAAAGCATTCAATGAATTCTTGAAGATAACTATGCTTTTAAATGACAAAGTGAGTAAACTAGACTTCATGAATAAGATGCTAAAAAAAATCATCAAAAAATTTCATCGGGAATCGCCCCAAATGGCGACGGCAGGACAGAACTACCTATATAAGGACTTATTTGACCTTTTTATATAAGTTCGAGGACTTATCTGACCCTTTTCTCTTTTAGATTTAAAAAGATTTTCAAGTAACGGTTTAAATTTTTTAAAATGAGCAAAAATCTCAGATTTAGCAGACATAGGGTATACCAATGTAAAACGAGAAAAATCATCGATAAAACACGCATAATATTTAAAACCTAAATTAGTGACGCATAATATTTAAAACCTAAATTAGTGAGAACATGTGATACAGAAGAATTATGATTGATATCAGAAAAAGGTAATTTTTGAGACTTGCCTAAGCGACATGAAATACAACGACGAGGAAAAAAGAATTATTACATACTCCCTCCGTCCCAAATTACTTAGCCAAGGAATAAGAAAATAAATTATGTGTAGTTGACTGGACAGATTTGCCCTTGGAATTAAAATGACGGAAGTGAGAAAAAATTAAAAGGACACAAAAAGCATTCGCAGAGCAACAGTACCATTGCTTTCAATAAAGCAAACTAAAGCTCTGGATCTTGATTTTTGTACTCCCAGAAATACTCTGTAGCTTCAATCGGAACTTCCTCATGCTCTGGAACTCTTTCTTCTACGATATCTGAAACAACTCTTTCTCATCTTCTTCGGCCAGATCTAAAATGGTGTAAATAGCTTCATCCCTATCGTTAAAAATGGCTGGATATCATCTTTAGCTGCGGAATTTCTAATGACAACAGAGAAGAGAGAACACATCTTGATAACCTACTATGGCGGTAGGGTTTTCCAAATGGGAGAGTGACGGTTAGAGAAAGGAAAGAGAGAGATATTACAATACCTGGCCGAGATATTAAAGAGAGAGATATTACACATGGTAGGGGAATTATTGTCTGACAATAACTCATTAACTGGCCGAGTTTTTTTAGAAGGATAGTTTAGTCTTTGCATTTGTTTTTAATCTCAAAAAGGAAAAGTGACTAAGTATTTTGGGACGACCAAATAAAGAAAGATGGCTAAGTAAATTTGGACGGAGGGAGTACATGTTTTTAGTGCATAAGTAAAATACATAAAGTAGTTTCACACAATGATCTAATCTATGATGCCACACGGGGCTAGATGTGGTGATAGATGATAAATCTAAGTTAGAGGGTGAACTCAGGCTGAGAGGATAAAGATGACCATTAGTGGTTGCTCGCAGAAAAACTGCCTTCAAAATTTTGTCCTTAACAAAAAAAGGAATTTTTATCAAAAATAGCAATACAGTTGTTACAAGCACACAATTTTTAATAGAAATTAAAATTAAATTTAATATTAGGCACATGATAAACATATTTTAATAGCAATGGGTGGCCGGGGTTTTTAAATGAATATTGTCAACATGTTTAATGGGAAGATGTGTACCATTAACAACACTAAGAGCATCTTTAATGGCAAAGTGGATTGTATCCCCTAAAAATGGACACGTCATTTGAAGTAGAAGGTCTATGAAGCTGAGGTGGATACACAGGCGTTTAAATTAAATGGACCGTTCCAATGCAATTATGGATGCAAAAAAATAGTCATAACTATAAAACAGCCGCAAGTACACATTTATGTAAAACAGCCCCTCCAGTGTCCCTGGTCGGTGTTCTTGGTTCAATGGTTCAAAAGATCACATACTGAAATGTAGCGTGGGCTGACCCAGGCTATCTGCACCACACATGTATGTTCTCAGTCTGGCATTGCGGGAGTGAGAGCCTTCCCCCTCTCATCCTCAAACGCCCATCCACATGTTTTTGCCGAATCAATCACGTAACTCACGTTAGGAAATCTCAGTTCGACGGTCTGAAACTTTCTTTAGCTTTCTTCATCATCTTTAACGGCTGGCATACCTGAAAAAAGCACCAACTTCAGTAGCTTGTCGTCTCCGAGTTTTGTCGGCGAGAAAAGATACGA